TCTTCTGAAGGACTCATATCAACGGCGGTGGCGGCACGTGCAGTTCCTAGCAGACCGCTTCTGGAATCGCTGGGAGAGGGAGTACCTTCCACTACTCCGCGAAAGACAGAGGTACAAAGAACCAACCCGGAATCTCTAGGAAGGCGACCTTGTCCTCGTCACTGGAAAAATCTTCCTCACAACACATGGCCATTGGGCAAGGTCACGGCAGTGGTCCGAGGAGCTGACGATCTGGTGCGCCAGGTACGTGTGCAAACCGTATCTAGGGAGTTCCGAAGGCCAGTGACTCGTGTATGCCTTCTTGAACACGACACACCGTAAATCTTGGGCGATTGCCCAATTCCGGGAGTGTTATCGCCGCTGGCTTCAACTACAGTGCTGGCGTTGCCTTATCCGAACAAACATTAAATCTATCAGCCTGCGAACACGTGCGCCGCCCCCCCCCCCCTCACGCGACCTGCACAAACAAAATGTCCTGATTCTGCTGAGTGTATGGTTTAGAGGGTGGCGTGGCCCCCTGGCCTCCATGATGCAGATCGCCCTCTCGAGTGATGCTGTGAAGACCAGCCCTCTGTGGTGAACACCGACTCCCAATCCTGGCCGAGTTTTGTGCTGGAACAATTTACACTATACTATTGTCCCTTGGAACACCATACTGGTTCACATTGATCCGCACTTGTAAGTACAGCCAAAGTGATGACATTCCCCTCAGTACTGTAGGCAAATGTAGTACCCATATGAAACAGGCAAATGTAGTACCCATATTCAAAAAGGGAGACAGAGCATCAGCGTCAAATTACCGGCCGATCAGTTTGACGTCAGTAGTGGGGAAATTTCTTGAATCAATTATAGCAGACAGCATCCGATCGCATCTAGAGAAAAGCAAATTAATCTACGACTCTCAACATGGGTTTACAAAGGAAAAATCTTGTCTAACAAATCTGCTAACATTTTTTAGGAAAGTCTTCGAGGTAGTAGATAATGACGAAAATTACGATGTTATTTACTTAGGCTTAAACAAAGTATTCGACAGAGTACCGCATCAGAGGCTTCTGAGAAAAATTAAGGCTCATGGTATCGAGGGGAAAGTTTTAAATTGGATAAAATCATGGCTCACCGATAGAACGCAGAGGGTCAGCGTAGATGGTGTTAAATCTGAGTGGGCCGTAACCAGTGGGGTTCCCCAGGGGTCAGTACTAGGCCCACTCTTGTTCATAATCTACATAAACGATTTAGATACTGGGATCAGCAGTGACATAAGCAAGTTTGCGGATGACACCAAAATAGGGCGGCAAATTAATTCAGGGCAGGATGCAAATGCATTACAGGAGGATCTAAATAAACTGCAGGGGTAGTCTGAAAAATGGCAAATGAAATTCAACACCAGCAAGTGCAGCGTACTTAATATTGGAAGAACAAATACTTATAATGTATACAGCCTTAACAACATCAACCTAGAGAAGTCGACTTGTGAAAGAGACCTAGGGGTACTTGTAAGCCCGGACCTACGGCCTAGAAAACAGTGCGTTAATGTTCGAAATAAGGCGAACAGAGTATTGGGTTTTATATCTAGAAGTGTAAGTAACAAGAGTGCAGAGGTCTTATTGCAACTATATCTTGCGCTAGTCAGTCCGCACCTCGATTATGCCGTCCAGTTCTGGTGCCCCTATTATAGAATGGATATAAATTCACTAGAGTCGGTGTAGCGAAGAATGACAAAAATGATTCCGGGACTTAGAAACCTTCCATATCAGGATAGGTTACAGAAACTTAACTTGCATTCCCTAGAAAGACGAAGAGTGCGGGGAGATATGATAGAAGTATTTAAGTGGGTGAAAGGAATCAATAAAGGGGATATAGATAAAGTTCTTATAATATCCGAGCAGGGTAGGACTCGGAGAAACGGATTCAAGTTGGATAAGTTTAGGTTTAGGAGGGAAATAGGAAGAAACTGGTTCACAAATAGGGTGGTGGACGAGTGGAACAAGCTTAGCAACTTTGTAGTAAGTGCGGGAACTCCGGAAAGTTTCAAAAGGAGGCTAGATAGATTCATGGACGATAGAGAGTGGTAGTAACTCTCGACAGGAGCTGCCATGCACAGGCCAACCGGCCTATTGCAGACTCCTTATTTTCTTATGTTCTTATATTGTGGACTAATTATGCCTACTCGTTTCTGCCTTATCTGGGGAAATAAGACAATGCGGAATGAAGTGTAACTAAGATTAATAGAGTTATTAACTTTGCATCATGTCACTATGCTTAATAATCAATTGTAATTAAGATGTAATCGTCTGAGACTAACTAATTTATGTATCAGATAGATCACCATGTAATGCTAAAGAATGCCTTGTTCTCTGCAGGTTTTGACCACATCAATAAATATTGAATGCGTCAAATGACGGGTTTCAATCATTCCCTTCGACTTGCCCGTCACCTGAACGTCCTTAACCAAGGCGTTTACAATGCTCCTTACTCACATCCCACATTTCCTGACCTGCTCGATTTCCGAGTAATCCTGGAAACTATATGTAATATAATAGAAAATATGGAGTGACAACTTTTATTCGATAAGAGCCAATTTCTTAAGTTTGGTAAAAGAAATAGCGTTACCGGAGCCGTAGTGTACGGCGTACAGAGTAAAACATTGTATATCATATTCTGTTAACTTAAAATAAAAGTGTTATTATGAATCCAAATTAGTTATTAAGACAGAACTAAATTTCAAAACCTTGGTTGATTTAATACGATTTATTCTCCGTATTTTTTTTTTTTGCAAAGCTGCTCAATGTTTGGAGAATAAGCTGCCGTCTTAATCTTTAGAGAAGATCGTAAGCTTTCATCATTCATTCGACTTCGTAGTTTTTTTTTATAATGAAGTTCATACAAGTAAGTAGAACCGAAGATGGACAGAATCCCGAACTGCTGAAGAGCCACTGTAGCTTATTGTTTTTCGAGACTTTCAAGTTTGGAGATCAGGCTTATAAATGTTAAAGCCGACATCTCTTATTCTTACAAATCAGCTAATTTACGCTCTAGTTCTGCTCGACTCACTGCTATAAAGGTCGTTTCATTATTTCACGAGTTACTACAAAACTGACTGGAGTTGTGTTACTTAAGGATTTCACCCATTTTGTGAATATGAACTGGCTTTGTTCTGCTGTGTGTTTCAGTTCCTATGCAGTTTTCTTTGTGGCATCTCCAGCTGCATACTTCACTGTCAGTACACTTTGTTTCGTGTGAATATGTCTTTCGAGGTTAGACTTCTTCTTCTTGGCCAATTCTTCCTTACAAATGAGACATGAAGGAAGTCGTCTAGAGCTCTTTATGAGATCAAAACAATCGGTTCAGCCATCTTTACAGCCATGTATTTTTTTTATCACGTCTTCAAGCATACTAAGAACAGAGGGAGATTTACAGAATATACCCAGCCCTTAAGCCAAGGTCTGAAGGATCTTTGACCTGTCCACCCAAGGATTATAAGGTCACGCGGGGAAATATGGTTGAAAAGAACAAAATATTTATATGTAGGTGAAGTCAAGGGTGAGGACATAGTTTCTCAAACACCACACAACCTTCACATGACATTTAACTCATAAATTACAATTTTTTTAAGGAGATTTAAAAATAAACGATGGACAGGAGACGAATTCTTTCACGTATAAAATGACGTCACTTAAACATATATTAATTCTTCAATTTCTTTATGATTTAGTCAAGAATGAGATCGACTCAATACCTCATCTCGACTCTAGCAGCAACAAGGGGACACGACAGACCTCTACAACACGTCTAACAAGTGGAATAATACTTCTCCTTGATCTTGTGTTTGACTTGATTGAATAATGTACAGTATGTATTGACCAATGACAAGATCCTTCTGTTAATACTTGACCACACATGAAGAAGAGTTTATTATGAATACATCACCTATATCAACAGAAGACAATGCATTAACAGGTATTCCTATGTCGGCAAATAAAGCTTGACCATATGAGACAAAATGAGTCCGTGTAGTTGGATAGATTAGGTGAGTGTATTGTCTTGTTATTGTATCTGAGAGGATATTGTTTTCGTGGTATATATTGTATTGTTTGTGGAGAACATCTTCAACTGGCGGCAGATGGTGTGTTTAGGATGAAGTGTGGGTCTCAGGTTGGGATGAAGTGTGGGTCTCAGGCTGGGATGAAATGTGGGTCTCAGGTTGGGATGAAGTGTGGGTCTCAGGCTGGGATGAAGTGTGGGTCTCAGGTTGGGATGAAGTGTGGGTCTCAGGTTGGGATGAAGTGTGGGTCTCAGGTTGGGATGAAGTGTGGGTCTCAGGTTGGGATGAAGTGTGGGTCTCAGGGTTGGGATGAAGTGTGGGTCTCAGGTTGGGATGAAGTGTGGGTCTCCAGGTTGGGATGAAGTGTGGGTCTCAGGTTGGGATGAGTGTGGGTCTCCAGGTTGGGATGAAGTGTGGGATCTCAGGTTGGGATGAGTGTAAGGTCTCAGGTTGGGAAGGATGGGGATGTGGGTCTCAGGTTGGGATGAAAGTGTGGGTCTCAGGTTGGGATGAAGTGTGGGTCTCAGGTTGGGATGAAGTGTGGGTCTCCAGGTTGGGATGGAGTGTGGAGTCTCAGGTTGGGATGAAGTGTGGGTCTCAGATTAGGATGAAGTGTGGGTCTCAGGTTGGGATGAGTGTGGGTCTCAGGTTGGGATGAAGTGTGGAGTCTCAGGTTGGGATGGAGTGTTGGGTCTCAGAGGCTGGGATGAGTGTGGTCTCAGGCTGGGGATGAGGAGGTGTGGGTCTCAGGGGCAGGATGAAGTGTGGAGTCTCAGGCTGGGGATGAAGTGTGGGTCTCAGGTTGGGATGAAATGTGGGTCTCAGGTTGGGATGAGTGTGGGTCTCAGGCTGGGGGATGAGTGTGGGTCTCAGGTTGGGATAGAGTGTAGGTCTCCTCAGGTTGGGGGATGGTCTGTGGGTCTCAGGTTGGGATGAGTGTGGGAGGTCTCAGGTTGGGATGAAGTGTGGGTCTCAGGCTGGGGATGGGGAGTGTGGGTCTCAGGTTGGGATGAAGTGTGGGTCTCAGGTTGGGATGAAGTGTGGGTCTCAGGTTGGGATGAAGTGTGGGTCTCAGGTTGGGATGAAGTGTGGGTCTCAGGCTGGGATGAAGTGTGGGTCTCAGGCTGGGATGAAGTGTGGGTCTCAGGTTGGGATGAAGTGTGCGTCTCAGGTTGAAGGGTTATTTAACACAACTTTACCTTGAAGACAGTAATCCAATATTTAAGGGATGGAAACTCTAGAAATAAACTATATACTGTATATGTTTTTTCTCGTGGCTCAATTATGAAATCAACAATATATTGATTTTTTTTAATTAGAATCAAATTAATTTAGTAAGTGCATATTGAAATGGATAAGAACAGAAGAACATAAGAACATAAGAAAATAAGGAGTCTGCAATAGGCCGGCTGGCCTGTGCATGGCAGCTCCTGTCGAGAGTTACTACCACTCTCTATCATCCATGAATCTATCTAGCCTCCTTTTGAAACTTTCCAGAGTTCCCGCACTTACTACAAAGTTGCTAAGCTTGTTCCACTCGTCCACCACCCTATTTGTTCACCAGTTCCTTCCTATCTCCCTCCTAAACCTAAACTTATCCAACTTGAATCCGTTGCTCCAAGTCCTATCCTGTTCGGATATTATAAGAACTTTATCTATGTCCCCTTTATTGATCCCTTTCACCCACTTAAATACTTCTATCATATCTCCCCGCACTCTTCGTCTTTCTAGGGAATGCAAGTTAAGTTTCTTTAACCTATCCTGATATGGAAGGTTATGATTGAAGCAGTACAGGTGTGTTGGTGTAGCGTATAGTAGGTGTGTTGATGGTGTAGTGTAGTGTATAACAGGTGTGATGGCGTAGTATTGTGTATAGCACACCTGCTAAACATTACACCATCAATACACCTATGCACCGCACCTGTTTACCCACACACTACAAACCTGTACACATCCACACACACTACACACCTGTACACACCCATACACTACACACCTGTACACACCCACACACTACACACCTGTACACACCCACACATTACACACCTGTACACACTCACACTACACAACAACATCAGATTTCCCCATCATCAGAAATTTAACCGGAATTCAAAACACACACTGCTAGCTACTGTTAAATTAAAGTAATTCACAGTTTGTATATTTTTGGTCTCATTTCTTAATGAGTTTTGTAGAGAGAGATACTGTACTTACCTCGATGAGTTAGTTTAAAGAACACAATATGCTAAGTCTTTCTCATCAGTTACGCAAATGAGTACCTTAAGTTATTATGTAATTGTTTATCTTTATTTAATTTTTTTTATTGATCTCTCTTATTTCCGCTTTGTTTCACCTCGATTTGTTTCTCTCTCTCTCTCACTCTCTCTGCTCTCTCGCTACTCCCTTTTTCCACACACCTATTTCCTCGTCTTTCTATCTCTCTCTTGTAATATCTCTCCCCCTCTCTCTCTCTTTCTTTTCATATATTTGATTCTTTCCTTCTCACTCTCTCTCTTTTTCTCTTTCGTTCTTTCATATTATTTTATGTAGAAATGAAGACAGTGTGTGTGTGTGTGTGTGTGTGTGTGTGTATGTGTGTGTGTGTGTATGTGTGTGTGTGTGTGTGTGTGTGTGTGTGTGTGTGTAGAAACCTATTACAACATTATATCAATTGGCTTTATAATCTTGGATCTCTATCTTGGTATAATCGTGTATTAGAAAATATGAGTGGGGTGGGGTGATAGGGGGTGATGGGGTGGGGTGATGGGGGTGTTGGAGGGGTTAGAGGAGTAGCAGCTCCACATGTCTTGGACCAATTTCTGGTAAGGGTCTGAATCGATGCATTAATTATCCATAGCATTATTAAATATCCGTGTTTTTTGTGTTTTTTGTGATCATGTGATTTTGTGTGTGTGTGTGTGTGTGTGTGTATGTGTTTGTGTTTGAGTTTATTTGTGTTTTTACGTATTTTTTTTCTCTACTTCCGTCTGTCATTGAGTAAAAATCGAGGATTATTTTACGATATATATAAAAGAGAGAGATTCAGACCATATCTCATCATACCTTGAACTGGGAAGAGATTTTAATAGGTGGGAAAACTTTATACCACCTATGTGACCCCTGTAAGCTATAGGTGATGAAGACGTGTGATGGTGTAGTACAGGTATAGTGTGTGTGTGTGGACAGGTGTATGGGTGATTCCTTCTCCTGCTTCCTCCTACTTCTTCCTTCTTTCCTTCCTTCTGTGGCCCTCCTACTTTACCTTTCCCGTCTACTCTTCTATCTTCTTCCTCCTCCACCCTTCATAGTTAAAAGTGTATAAATAAGAGCTAATTACACACAGCATTATATATTGTAATACCGGAGCTAATGAGGTAATCAATAATTAATTAAGAAATAGTAATGAAATCCATGACACGTAATTAAGGACATGGGATAACCTCTCTAGTTTGGCTAGTTAGCGAGGTCATTATAATACTAGCCGGCTTCACTGGTTATTACAATACTAGCCGGCTTCACTGGTTATTACAATACTAGCCGGCTTCACTGGTTATTACAATACTAGTCGGCTTTACTAGTTATTACAATACTAGCCGGCTTCACTGGTTATTACAATACTAGCCGGCTTCACTGGTTATTACAATACTAGCCGGCTTCACTGGTTATTACAATACTAGTCGGCTTTACTAGTCATTTTAAAACTAGCATAACCTCCCATAAGTTATGCTTTATTTTCAGCTCACAAGGTATGCGTCATTCTCAGCTCGCAAGATAAGTTATGCGTCGTTCTCAGCTCACAAAATAAGCTATGCCTCATTCTCAGCTCTCACACACACAAAAGTCTCTCATGTTCTCAGGTAAAAACCATTCTACAGTGTTCTCAGCTCAGGATGACGTTATCCCGACTCCTGAATATATGTTATTAAGTTATCCTTCACATTCTATCCTTCACATCCTTCGTCCTAACTCCGTTCTGTTATCCTATTCTCGTCATGGCGGTTCATAGAAAGATATCCTATAAGCTCGAGGGCAGAAAAATAAAGCGTATCCCGAGAGTCCGTCTGTGTGTGTGTGTTGGTATAAAACCCTACAAGAAACCATTAAGGGATGAAATCAGGTCATTATCTGATGGTCTAACAGAGAGTGAGAGAGAGGAAGCGGATAGGTACTCAGAATAATGGCGATCTGTCACGTCCGTACTCCATTGCATTGAATATAATAGCCAGATTATCCCCTATAGTGGGAGGTCAGTATTAAGTAGAGTGAGGATCGGGGCGCTCAGAGGGACGAATTGATGAAGTGGTGAAGTGGGAGAAGAAACGGGAGATGAAGAAAGAGAGGAAGGGTAAGAGGTGTGTGTGTGTGTGTGTGTGTCAGTGGGTAGCAAATCTATCACACACACATCATAACACACGAAAATTCTGTCACACACACACACACACACACACACACACACACACACACGAGCTCAGGGAATGGAGACGCGTATAAGGGGCTCTCAACATTTTCATCCTCGAGTCCATCTAAAACTCTTCCGCTTCCCTAACTTTAGCCAGAGACTTAGAGTAAACTTTAACTGGCTTGGGAACCACCTTGGTATGTGGTGGCTTCAGATCTTCTTGAATTGTTTAGTGTGTGGGGCGTGTGTGGGGGTGGGGGAATGTGTTTGTAGGGATGGTGTGTGTGTGTGTGTGTGTGTGTGTGTGTGTGTGTGTGTGTGTGTGTGTGTGTGTGTGTGTGTGTGTGTGTAAGTGAATAAGCGAATGAAAAACGGACTTGGTATTAGTTATGGAAATAAGTAGACGTTGTAAAGGTAAGTTTTGACGTCAGAGCAACACCTGTCTTGACCCCCAGCACACCTGTACCCTAATGAGGTGGTCAACAGGTGAGTTACTCCTGTGTTAGATCGTCCTCATCTCTCCTCTCCCCTATTCCTCATCTCCCCTTACCCCTCTTCCCTTACTCCTCCTCTTCTCTTACTCCTCCTCTCCCCTTACCCCTCTCCCCCTACCCCTCCCTTTACTACTATTCCCCAAGGGTACAGATCTTGCCATGGGCTTACGGAGGTATCATGCATTCCCCCAGGGTGTCAGATCTCCCCCGTGGTGCTTGTGTCCCAAGGTGTTGACGTCATGAATTCCCTTCGAGAATCCCCCAGGGTCCCAAGAATCCCTCCGAGAATCCCCCAGGGTCCCGAGAATCCTTCGAGAATCCCCCAGGGTCCCCAAGAACTCTCCGGAGAACTCCCCAGGGTCCCAAGAACTCTCTCCGGAGAACCTCCTCCCAGGGTCCCGAGAACCCCCAGGGTCCCCGAGAATCCTTCGAGAATCCCCCCCAGGGTCCCAAGAATTCTCGAGAATCCCCCAGGGTCCCAAGAACCTCCGAGAACTCAGGTCCTGGAGAATCCCCAGGTCCCAAGAACCGGAGAATCCCCTTAGGGTCCCAAGAATCTCCGAGAATCCCCCCAGGTCCCGAGAATCCCCCAGGGTCCCAAGAATCCCTCGAGAATCCCCCAGGGTCCCAAGAATCCCTCGAGAATCCCCCAGGGTCACAAGAATCCCAAATATTCAGGGGTTTCAGAGCTTCTTCACTAGGGCGAACAAGGGTCCAAGGGGTCCTTTTGGGTCACAGTATGCAGTACCCCCCTTTCCCCCCCTCAAAAAAAAAGGGTCTAGGGGGGGTCTTAGTGAAGGGTCCCAGTGTCCCGTGGTCCCTCATTACTCCCCCTTTGGCGCACTAATTCTCAGGCAGGAAGTGAAAAAATGGCGGGGAGAAAAAGCGAGTATTCCAACGAGTGGCCAATAATAACTCCGACTCGCGGGGCAGGTTGTGGGCGGTAGAGAAGAAGGCCAATGGACGGTGGGTGGGTGATGGGAAGGGGGGGGGCTAGTGTCCATGGGTGGTTGTAAGAAGGATGGAAGGGGGTGAGATAAAAGGTGTGAGGGTGGTGGTGGGTGGGGGAGTTGGGACTAGTGGGTGGGTGTGTGTGTGTGTGTGTGTGTGTGTTCCCAATCTTATAAATTTCCCCATAATCTAAAAAAATACAATGCCCAATCACTAATCACGGTTCCTAGACACAGCATTATACAACACTCACAAACAAACACACAAACAAACAGACACAAACAAACAGACACAAACAAAGCAAAAAATTCCTCCCCCCCCCAAAAAAAGAAGAAAACAAAAGACACGCAGAAGAGACCCACAACATAAAGAAGATAAACAAAAAACAAACAAAAAGTAAACAACAAACAAAAACAGAACAATAAAAACAGGAGACAACACACAAACAACAAACACTATAAAATAACAGAAAGAAAACAAACAACAGAAGAAACACAAACAACGGAAAAACACCACACAAACAACGGACAAACACCACACAAACAAAAGTAAACAACACAAGGACACAAACAAACAAACAGACAGACGCTTGGTAAGCCCTTCTTCCCCAGACCACAAAGTCCTCTTCTTTTCCATAATTAATTAAAACAAATTAACACCAGAGAGAAATTAATTAAGATGTAAGTCGATTATTATTCCAATAAATGTTTAGATTATTATATATTTAATCGGATTACCTGGAGATTAAACATCCGAGTTTAATTAATCTGATGATTTACCACACTAAACCTAACCTAACCTATTCTGGGAGAGGGGTAGGGTAGGTTAGGTTAGGTTAGGTTAGGTTAGGTTAGTTTAGGTTAGGTTAGGTTAGGGTAGGTTAGGTTAGGTTAGGTTAGGTTAGGTTAGTTTAGGTAAGTTAATCTTCAGTTAATTCTGGTGTGTTTAATCTTCAGGTGATCTATGTAAACTTTTTAACACTGTAAGACAAACTTAAGTAACTTTCCTATTTAAGTAAGATATCCACTTAGGACGAACTTAAATAAGTAATTCACCTATTTCTAAGTAAAAAAAAGATATTCACTTAAACGTATACAGCAATACTTTACCTATTTTCAGACTGATGAACCCGAAACAGTAGACCGATACATTATTCTGTCTATAAATGCTTCGGATTCGCGAGTCTGAATCTCTTGAGAGGGTTCGTGGTTCAGAAGAGATGACATAGCCTTAGTGGATGACTGTGGATGACTGTGGATGATTGTGTTGACCTTGGATGATTGTGGATGACTGTGGATGATTGTGTTGACCTTGGATGATTGTGGATGACTGTGGATGACTGTGGATGACTACTATTGACCAAATAAACCACCCTCTGCTAAACCTCACCCTTGTTATTTATTTCTTAGTGTTTGTTTGTTGTAGTTGTTTTAATGTTATTACTGCATTTCAACAATGAGAGAGAGAGAGAGAGAGAGAGAGAGAGAGAGAGAGAGAGAGAGAGAGAGAGAGAGAGAGAGAGAGAGAGAGAGAGAGAGAGAGAACTTCCTATATAATACTTTTTCACATCATTGTATTACTTCTGAACCTAACCTAACCTATTTAAGTAAAGCTCTGATATTTTAAAGGTTCAATAATTAAGGTCTGATTTTAAGTATTTGAAGGACCTGTAAATAAGGTTTATAACCCTATTGAGTTTTTAAAGGTTTTCACTAGAAATTTTAAGTATTGAATAATTTTAAGAATTTTTGCATCTATTATTAAGGTCTCACATTTAAATACCTTACGAACGCTTGGTGAAGTGCGTTAGGGTATAGTTTGAACACCTGTCTATGCGTTGGGGTACTTTAACACCCGTCCATGCGCTACAACAGTCCCCAGTACCCATCCATGGGCTAGAACAGTCCCCAACACCCGTCCTTGACCACCGTCGGGTCGAGACCTATTCAGGCTCTGCTCCTCCTGAGCAGCGGCCCCCCTTGGCCAATGTTCGGCCCATTCCCCAAGTCCCTCTCCCCGACCCATCCTCACCACCAGGATATCTACATAATCAAAAGTGACAATTTTGTTTCGGAATGAAGTGGGACAAGTGTTGAACAGTGATGAACAGTGTTTACGCGAGTGAATTCAGCACTAGACAGTACCAGTGAGAGCCGTGACCCACCAGTGAGATAAGCACCCCTGGGAACTGACCGCCATCTTCTGGCCAGGAGGTGCTAATCAGTCCACGATGGGAACAACAGTGGGTCGGCTTCACACCTGACTACGAGACAACACAACACCACCCAGCAGGGCGAGGTACTGTGACACCACCCCACACTGCCCGGTGTCCCCATGACCACGTGAGGCCCTTCATATCAACACCCGAGGACGAGTTACTGCACCAGGTGAACACTACACCACCCGGTGTCTCCATGACCAACCCAGGCCCGGGCAATCAACTGTAAACTATAATAATTTGTATGTTCAATCATTGCTCCCTCTTCTTTCAATAATGAAAGCCTTTGTTAAGCGACCCACCCACCCCATGTCTTTGTATGTAATAAGTCATTTTTGTCCAATGTATATTTTCAGCCTTAGGGCTGCAGAACTTTTTCAATAAACCGTTAATTATTATTATTATTAAAACAGTCTCCAACAGCCGTCCATGCACAAGAGCTGTTCCTTCACCATTACGTATAGTTCTAACCATCACAAACAACAAACTAAAGAGAGGAATAAATTTAACGAGTTTTAACGAATCTCAATACTCAAAATTTCCTTAGAGTAAAATTTCCTCGTAAATGAGTTTGTGAGAATATATCTGGTATGTTAAGTAAATTGAAGGTAAAAATGCAAAACAAAAAAAGCATAAAAATTAAACAAACAGAAAAATAATAAGAACTTAAAAAAAAATTCCAAAATATTCAAATTGTTGTTGAATCTCGGTGTAATTTTAAATGCCATTAATTATTTCTTTGAACCTTGTTTTGTTGTCGTGTATAGATAAATATTGTTACCTCACGCATTTCAAGGTCTTTCCTGACACCATTACTAACACACAGGGAAAGTGACCATTATTCAAGGGTGCCAAATGGTGAAAATCTGAACCCACTTACCCACCCCCATGTTGCTACGGTCCAGCCTCGGAGGGGTCTTTCCACCCGGCCGACCTATAATTGCATTTCGGTCGTTATTTCCTGTGTGATACGATTCCTAAATTGTACAAGATGTTGTCGCCCAGCTCAAGGTGAGGGGGTGGGGGTGGTGAAGGGGTAGGGGGGAAAAGGGAGGGGGAGGGGATGGGTCAGATTGTGAGGAGGATGGGGACGAAGAGAGGGGTTAGATGGTTAGGAGTAGAAGGAGGAAGAGGTTGGCTCGATGGGGAGGTAGGAAGGGGAGTGAAGAAAAGAAAAAAGGTGGAATGAGGAGGAGCGAGACAGGGGGGAAGGTGGAGGAGCGGAGACGGGGGGAAGGGGAAGAGGAGGAGCGAGACGGGGGAAGGGGGAAGAGGAGGAGCGAGACGGGGAAGGGGAAGAGGAGGAGCGAGACAGGGGGGAAGGGAAGAGGAGGAGCGAGACGGGGGGAAGGGGAAGGTGAGGAGCGAGACAGGGGGAAGGGGAAGAGGAGGAGCGAGACGGGGGGGAAGGGAAGAGAGGAGCGAGACGGGGGGGAAGGGGAAGAGGAGGAGCGAGACGGGGGAAGGAAGAGGAGGGAGCGAGACGGGGGAAGGAAAGAGGAGGAGCGACTGGGGGAAGGGAAGAGGAGGAGCGAGACAGGGGAAGGGGAAGAGGAGGAGCGAGACAGGGGGAAGGGGAAGAGGAGGAGCGAGGACAGGGGGAAGGGGAAGAGGGGGAGCGAGACAGGGGGGGAAGGGGAAGAGGAGGAGCGAGACGGGGGGGGAAGGAGGAGCGAGACAGGGGGGGAAGGGGAAGAGGAGGAGCGAGACAGGGGGGGAAGGGGAAGAGGAGGAGCGAGACAGGGGGGAAGGGGAAGAGGGGAGCGAGACAGGGGGAAGGGGAAGAGGAGGAGCGAGACGGGGGGGGAGGGGAAGAGGAGGAGCGAGACAGGGGGGAAGGGGCAGAGGAGGAGCGAGACGGGGGGAAGGGGAAGAGGAGGAGCGAGACAGGGGGGAAGGGGAAGAGGGGGAGGGGGACGATGGGATGGAAGCGATGGAAGGGGATAATTGGGAAAGTCAAAATACTTTCAATTCACTAACTATAAAATGGCTGCCCAAACAAACAAACAAATTACATATTACCAGCGTGTAGGTACAGGTACAGACATAGGTACAGTTACAGGTACAGGCATAGGTACAGGTACAGACATAGGTACAGGTACAGGCATAGGTAAAGGCATAGGTACAGGCAGAGGTACAGGTGCAGGTATAAGTGCAGGTACAGGTATAGGTACAGGTGCAGGAACAGGTGCAAGTGCAGGTACAAATAAGGGTACAGGTACAGCTACAGGTGCAAGTGCATGTACAAATACAGCTACAGGTACAGTTACAGGTGCAGGTACAGGTATAGGTACAGGTACAGTTAAAGGTATAGGTACAGTTACAGGTACAGGTAAAGTTACAGGTACAGATACAGTTACAGGTGCAGGTACAGTTGCAGGTACAGTTACAGGTGCAGGTACAGTTACAGGTGCAGGTACAGTTACAGGTACAGGTCCAGTTACAGGTGCAGGTACAGGTATAGGTACAGTTACAGGTACAAGTGCAGGTATAAGTGCAGGTACAGGTATAGGTACATGTGTAGGTACAGGTACAGTTACAGGTACAGGAACAGGTGCAAGTGCAGGTACAGGTGCAAGTGCGTGTACAAATACAGCTACAGGTACAGTTACAGGTGGAGGTGCAGGTACAGGTGCAGGTACAGGTATAGGTGCAGGTACAGTTACAGGTGCAGGAAC